CTGCTGTGTGATTTGCATCTTTGTATCGTCTGCTGACTTTTTTGTTTCCTTCGCCGTTGTTTGGGACTGTTCCCCATTTCTTCTTATTTTCGTCTGGGATGGGGAGCGCAACTTTTCTGCAAAGTTCGGAAAACGTTTGCACGGTCATTTTTCTGGTTACTTTTTGTTTTTGTAATGCTGCGTATTCTGGTGCGCTTGCTCTGGCAATTTTAACATGTTGTTTACGCACGTGTAAACAGTCACCTATTCAGGTAAGAAATTGTGACAACGCAGTTTGTAACGGATCAACATTAACCTCTTACGACGCAGTTCGAGTAGCTAAACGCCTTTTTTTCCGCTTCCCAGATGCGATTTAAAAGCGCGTGATCCCCCCGAGTGCCGTTTGAGACCTCTAGATAAACTGGTCTATCTTTATTTTTTGCGCGCGTTGTTGTTTCATTGTCGTTGCAGTTGCGATCAGTGGATTGTGCTTTGCAAGCGGACTGACAATAATGAATTGTTTTCTGCTATTAACGTGACGAAACGGGGCTCGCAAAGATCGAGGACGTCGCAGAGCCTATACTTTTCCATTGCATCGTCTGCTTCCGTAGACTCCGAGTCCGCTAGAGGCGCCACTATCACGTTCGCCGCCACTCCCATAGGTCTTCGGAGTAGTTTCCAGCATTGGCGAAGCTATATTGCCTCGCGCGTAGCTGGCCAAGTGGGCAGCGCAGCCGTGGCATAACGGTTATTGAAGATGGAAAAAAAAATAAAATAAAAAATAAAAAAAAGCCTAACGGTTACCGTGCTTGCCTCCCACGCGAAGAGTCAGGGTTCGATTCCTGGGCGCGACACGTCTTTTATTTATTCATGAAATTTACTGTTCCGCTAAATTCGAGATCTTTGTTGCATGTTCGAGGTTAGAATGTTCTGTGCGCGAACCTTCTATGTCGATTGCTCGAGAAGCCCACGCGTGTACAAAAGGGGTTCCGCGTGGCAACCCGCAGGCAGTTTCGCCGCAGCGTTTGATTCTTCTGTCACGCCGACTTCGACGCCCGGGACGCTCTGCTTTCTTTTGTTCCCCTTCTATATTCGGTCACAAGTACGCGACATTAAACGTTTAGCTTCTTCAGTTATTATCGCCTCACCACTTGTCATTCGTGACATTTTGGTGGAGGTACGGGGTACTGCATTCTATTCCCGTTGAGCGTACCCCTCCGAAGACAACACGGCCAAGCGATGTGCTCATCCCCGGAAGGCCACCCTTCGCCAAAGACGCCGAAACCCGAAGAAGTCGACGTTACAAGACTCAGTACCCCAAACTTGGTCTCTTGCCCGAGAAACGGAAGAACAAGATCCCGACCATGACCACACCGCCCGTCGTCGTCCTGCCCATCACTCCGCAAACACCTGCTCCCTTCCTCGGCGAGATCTACGAGGACGTCGAAGGCTGGATTAACCAGTACGAACGCGTGGCTCGCCACAACGGGTGGAGTGACGAACAGCGCCTTCAAAACCTCTATTTCTCGCTCGAAGGAACTGCAAGGCGCTGGTTCGAAAACCATGAAGCTTCGTTGACGTCGTGGGATCTTTGCAAGAACGAGCTCAAGCGAACATTCGCTAGTCAACACCTAAGGGAGAGGGCCGAAGACCCGCTGCAATCGAGGACCCAGGGCCCCAATGAAAGCTTCACGAGCTTTGTGGAAGACGTGCTTCGCCTGAGCTCCCGCACCGACCCTCAGGTCACCGAGGGAGTAAAGCTGCGCACTTTGATGCGTGGCGTAAAGGATGACATCTTTCGTGGATTCGTACGCAACTCACCGATGACCATGCAAGGATTTGTCACGGAGGCGACGAACATCGAGCGTGCTCTGCAGGCCCGAGCCAGCCAGTACCAGAGGCTACGCGACGTCAGCGCGGTTCCGCAGTCCCCTTGCGACCTTGCCCACGGCATTCTGGGCATTCGAGAGCTCATTCGCCAGGTCGTCCGGGACGAGCTCAAAGGCCGACGTACAGCCTCGGTTTTCTGAAGGGAAGATAATCCTCTAAGCGCTCCCCCTCTCCTAAGCTGCGAGGGGAGCCAAGTTGGGGTAAGGTAAAAAGTGGCGAGGATATAGGGAAGGAGGAAACGGGCAAAAGTGGAAAGCGCGAAGTGTACGTCGGGCCTTTAAGAAGCTTCTGCCGACTGCTGAGCGCCCGGCTTCAATCTCCATTGCTGAAGTTCTTCGGCAAGAGGTTCAGCGAGCGTTCCTTCCGCAAGCCTCTGTCACCGTGGCCGCAGCCGATGAGCCGAAGCTGACCACCGCCGCAGTGGCCCGACGAGCGCCGCCACCTGCTCAACATTACACGGTGGCGTCGCGACGAGACCCGCCAACGCAGGCGTACCCCCGACGCGAATACGAAAGACGACCGCCGAGAACAGCCGGCGCCGAGGAAAACCGACGTGTGGATGACAGCGGATCGACGACCCATCTGCTACCACTGTGTTGAGGCCGACCATATCTACCGCCGTTGTCCCTACCGGCAAATGGGCCTGCGTGGTTTTCACCCGAACGACCCACGCCCGAGGTACGGCAAACGCCCTGGCGACACTGAAAAGTACCTCCGACGCCCGCCGACCTGAACACCGTCTCTCCGCCGTGAATCCCGCTCCCCATCGCCGCGACGTTCAGCGCCTCCAGCGCCACACCCCTCCGAGAGAGCCTGTCTCCACTGCGTCGCCGGGGAAACTAAGTGCGGCAACGCCTGGAAGTGGCGTTGCCGAAGACGACAGAAGTAAAGAGCCTCCAAGAACGCCGGAGCGCTCCCACTTTCTCGACGCCACGCATCGGAACGACGCTTCTCAACGGTGTCCAACAACCTAAACGTCGTCATTGACGGCCACGATGCATCAGCACTCGTGGACACAGGAGCAGACTACTCAGTCTTAAGTGGGAGGGCTTCCCACCGGCTTCGAAAAGTCATGACGCCGTGGGATGGACCTCAAACACGAATCGCCGGAGAACACCTCATTACACCAGTTGGAAGATGCACTGCTCGAGTCGAGATCCGCGGTGGGACGTGCCCTGTGAAGTTCGCGTTCTGCAAGACTGTGCGAGGGACGTTATCCTCGGAATGGACTTTCTCTGCGAGTATAGCGCCTTCATCGACCTTGGAGCAAACCAGTTCACGCTGCGCAAGCCTGTTCTGCCCCCGGTGGAAACCAATACAATGTCAACCGCGTCCGAGTTATTGCCGACCATGTGAACCTGCCGCCGCGATCGAGTGCTCGCGTCACCGTCATAACCGACGCAGCGATGCACGGTGAAGCTCTTCTGGAAGGCAGCGTCCAACTGCTTCTTGAAAGAAGAATTGGCGTCGCACGAGGCGTAGCGGATCTCTAAGAAGGACGTACGACTGTTCTCGTGACAAACTTTCGAGAGGAGCCGCAGCACCTAGCGAAGGGCACCACCGTGGGCCACGTCGAAGAGCCTCAGGCGCCAGCCGTAGTCACCGCAATCTCCAAGGAAACCTTGCCGTCACAGCAGAAGAGCAAGTCGCCGCCGCAGCTTGATATCGACCCCGAGCTCCTAGCTCCTAAGCGTCGGCAACTGGTTGATCTTCTCGCCGAATACAGGGACTGTATTGGCACGTCGTCGAACGTTCGCCACACAACAATAGTGAAACATCTCATTATTGCCGACGACAACGCACTGCCTGTCCACCAGTCGCCATTTCAAGTCTCCTTAAAGAAATGGAAGGTGATTCAAGATCAAGTCCTGTGAATGCTCGACGACGACTTCATTCAACCATCAAGAAGTCCGTGGGCGTCCCCAGTCCTCATTGCAAAGAAGAAGGACGGAACCCTGAGATTCTGCGTAGACTATCGTCGACTGAACGCTGTGACTAAGAAGGACGTCTATCCGCTCCCCCGCATCGACGATACGCTAGACCGACTGCGGCCCTTCCGATATTTTTCGTCGATGGACCTGAAGAGTGGCTACTGGTTGATTGAAGTCGACTAACGCGACCGCGAGAAAACTGCCTTCGTCACTCCCGACGGACTGTACGAGTTCAATGTGATGCGGTTCGGACCTTATACGGCACCAGCCACCTTCCAGCGTGTCATGGACACCGTGCTGGCAGGTCTGAAATGGCAGAGCTGCCTCGTCTACCTGGACGATGTCGTGGTATTCTCACGAGATTTCGACGAACGTCTGCAACGACTTCGAGCCGTACTGCAAGCAATCGAGACCGCCGGCCCGTCACTCAAGTCAGCAAAGTGTCGGTTCGCCTAGGGCTTCTAGCTGACCCCGGGAAAACCCGCGCCTTAGCTGCATTTACACCGCAGTCTGACAAGAAGGCCGTGAGAAGATATCTCGGACTCTGTGCCTACTACAGGCGCATTGTTCTGGACTTCGCCAAGCTGTCCGCACCACTGACACACCTCACGAAGGACGCCGTAAAGTTTGAATGGACAGAAGAACACTAGCAATCATTAGATGAGCTCAAACGAAGAATCCAGGGCCGGTTCGCTGATCTTGCGGCCGCGGCTGCGGCTGCGGCCAAGAGGGATTTTTCCGTCACGTGACCAGCTCCTTGGGGACAAGGAAGTACCTAGAGTCCCTGCCTAATGGCGGAGAAATCCGTTTCTCTTCAAGCACAAAAGCCTAATTTCGCTCGGAGAAACTGACTGCAGGGACTTTCAACTGGAGTCTAATTGACCGCCCCCTTATACTGTAGGAGCGGCAGATAAAGTTACGGCCAGGAAGGGTGAAAATGAGCCAAAATAAAGGAAAAACCACTCGAGATGAAAACGGTAGCAGAATATTTATATACCTCCGCCAGCGCCGGCGTCTCGCGCCTTCTACTGTGTGTGTGGGGGGGGGGGGGGGGGGAGGAAGTAGAAGTGATCGTAAGTGGACGCTTAATTTTCGTCCTCTTGAACCAAAGTTATTCACTGGGGCCCTTGTGGCCCTGGATCCCGCGACGAAGAAGGCAACGATCCTTCAACAAGTAAGATGAGCTCCAAGGAGAGGAGCATGACGGTCCTTGAGGACCGGGTTAATGAAGAGGCAACGGAATGCTCCAAGCAGAAGAAGGAATATCGAATCATTCTACCACGTCTACCAACAGGTATGCTCGTCAAAAACTCCCTTTTCTTGCATGCGGATAAGTCCGGAAGACCGTACAAGGCAACAGATTTCAAAGAAGTTCTTTTTTCAATAATTGACCGGAAAGATCTCGTAGCCTTAGGTCCTTTCCAAATGAGTCGTGTTTGGATGGCGGTCTTCGCCAATGGCGCTGCAAAATACAAGGTAAAAGCACAAGAATAACTCGAAATCAAAATGAAGAAGTGCCTCGTGATCGATCCTACAAAGGATGAAATCAAAATGAGACTGATTTGGCTACCGCCTCAGCTACCGGACAGCAAGTTCAAAAATGTTCTTGAACCGTTTGGAACGGTAAAAGAGATAACTAGGGAGAGGTGGAGATTTTCAGATCTCCAGGAGACAGACACCTTGACCCGATTTGTAACACTAGTACTCAAGGATCACCTCTCGGTTGATAAGGTCCCACACATGCTCATATTCTACGTAGTGAATACTCTGGTGGTCATTCCCGGACGACCTCCGCTCTGCCTGCGCTGCAAAGCGATTGGCCACAACTGTCGACAGTGCTCTACACCACGCTGTACACAGTGCTGGTGGTATGGCCATTCCACCGAGGAGTGCGCTGTAACCTATGCCTCCAAGCTCCAGGGTAATGCTTCGCCATCGGCTGATGTATGTGAACACCTCATGGACGTCGATGAAATGTTCACTAAGGACCTGGAACCTCTGGACGATTCTGAGGAACCTCAAAAAAACCTCGACAACTCATGCGAGGTCTCCTCGGGGCAGCAAGAGGAGGCACCTAAACCCTGCCCCATCGATGCCCTAATCCAAGAACCACTAAATGATTCCACATCTGACACTCTACTCACTAAATCAAAGGAGACAAAAAAGCTTCCCACACAGATTACTCCGCCTGCTGCGACGGAGACAGAAAATGAAAGGTCGTTCCAAAAGGCGAAAGTCGACGCCATCGACACCGCCTTAACAGCAGATCCCTGCTGCTCCAAAGATGTCCCCCAGAGCTGGGAAGACGTCCATCCCCAAGAACAACGTGGAAAGGCGAAGTTCAAGGAGCGGAAGAAACCAAACCTTCCCCGATCTGAATCAAATGTGTAAATGGTTACAGTGAGCTTTGTCACCACCCTGATAAGTTCTTTTACCATGTGCTCCTTTAGCGTGCGCGGTACTAATTCACGCAAAAAGCAATACCAACTATATCGTTTTATAGAACCTCACAATTGTGACATAGTCGCACTGCAAGTGACTAAGGTTTCTCAGAATAACGTTGTCTTCTCGGCTAACAGCGTATGGTCAAGCTTATATGATATATACCACTGCCCAGCAACCGATTACTCTGCTGGATGCGCCATTTTGTTTTAAAAAAGTTCGGAATACCGTATCTGCAGTTTAGTTGAAGGTGCAGATGCAGGTAGACTTTTAGTTGCAAATGTCCTCATACATGGTCATCCCTGGCATATAGTTGTTGACGTGTACAATGACTCCGTGCAAAGGCAGAACTTATTCAATCAAGTGAGGATTCACGCCGACACACGATTCGATGTTATTCACCTTGGAGATTTTAACTGCGTATTGTATGCCGAAGATAGAATTCCTATAAAGAAAATCGTTGATCCAAGTGTTGACATTCTTCAAGCTCTCGTTCGGGATTGCGACCTGTTGGACACTTTCACCGCAAAAAATGTTCTTCATTATACGCACTTCCAGGGATCATCGCATGCGCTTTTGGACCGTATACATGTGAGTGGTTCGGCTAGCAGTTCGATTAGTAATTATAGAGTAATTCCTGCATATTTCTCAGATCATTGTATGGTCATGGTTAGTGTAGGTTCGAACCGAAGACGAATAAAGGAAAAGCCGCAATCATGGGAATGCTGGAAGATGAACGAAAGCCTGTTAGAAAATGATGCTTTCCAAACAGCCGCAGAAGGCCTTATAAATGACCTTGGACAAATCAGAACTGGGTGGTGCCAAAAGTGGGAACCGTTTAAGATTAAAATTCGAGAACTAGCTATCAAGATATCTTCAATAAAAAGGTACAGCGAAAAAACTGAAGAAACGCGACTAAATAACGATCTCGTGTACTTATATAATCTCGAATGTCAGGAGCCAGGGATGTACAAGATTAAAATAAAAAAATATAAGGAAGCAAATAGAAGAACACGACAAGAAGCAATATGAAGGTGCGGCTGTGAGGACACGCACTCTACAATTAATTGAAGGAGAGCAGCCCACGAAAAGGTACCTACATGCCGAACAAGAGTATGTGAACAAAAAGTCGGTGTCATTGCTGATACTGAACGACCAGGAACTGAAGAATGAAAGTGATATTCTCCAGGCTTTTGTCTCGCATTACACCAATCTTTTTGCAACAGGCACTAAGGCACCTCATCCATGTCTGCGAGAGATAATATCAACACTACCCTGCTTAGAAGACGACACAACGGAAAAAATTAATTCACTTCTGGATGTACAAGAAATTCTGCAAAACATCTCTAAAATGAAAAGTCACAAAGCTCCTGGTCCGGATGGATTGCGTGCTAGCTTCTACAAGAAGTGTAAAGAAAAATTAGCCCCCATACTTTGCAACGTTTTTGAAGAATCTTACACCACGTGTAACTTATCGCTGTCGTTTCGTAAGGCTCATACAATACTAATTCCTAAATCGAAATACCCTAACAAGCTTACAAAATATGAAGGCTATAGACCTATCAGCCTTCTCAATACTGACTACAAAATCCTGCCTCGATTAATCGCAGGGAGACTTCAAACGTTCATACCCCAAGTCATCGGAGTACAAACATTTGCAATAAGAGGAAGAAATATACACACAAACCTCCACATTGTTCGATCAATGCTAGAGATATGCCAGCGCACACAAGAAGCAGCTGATATTTTACAGCTTTATCTCGAAAAAAGCTTTCGATAGAGTAGACCACTCATTTCTTTTTGCCCTGTTGAAGCACATACGGGTCGGCGAAACTCTTGAAAAGGGCATCACACTTTGCTACAATAGCCTATCGACTAAGTTAATTATAAATGGGTCTCTTTATCAACATATCTCTGTTTTACGCTCAGTTCGCCAAGGCTGCCCAATGTCACTGCTATTTTTAATATCTACTTAGAGTCACTCCCCCGCAGGGGGCACCTGTGAAAGCAGGTGTTTGGAGAGTGGCGTCTCCACGGACCCCGAGCCCCGCAGGGGGCGCCTGCACCTTAGGTGCTAGGTGCTTGGTGAGTAGCGTCACCACGGACCCCAGCCTCATTGGCAACATCACAGACCTTGAGTAAAAAGTGGCTAAGACCCACCCACGTCTGGCTGTGCGTGGCGAGCCCGTGTCCGGGGAAAAGGGCATCCTGGTGGTTGAGCTGAACCCGGGGTAGGTTTGGACCCTTCGGGGCCCCCCGGGTGAGGCAACACACCACTTTGGCCCCCGCTTCTCGTAGACGGGTGTCCTGGCTTGGCCCGACCAGGATGATGCAGTCAGTCGCCATTTCTTCTACTATCCCCTCTCTTCTTTCTCTTTCCTCTTCTCTCGCCTTTTTCCATTTCAACTTCTTTGGCGGCAAGGGCTAACCTTGGGTGGCGACAGACCCCTGTCTAGCACCACACTGGGTTATAGTGCCTGGGCAGCGCTGATAGTGTAATGTCGTCAGCCAAGCCATTCTTGCTATGGCGCATTACCTATCCTCGTGTTGGGCTCCGTGGTGGGTGGCGCACCCGGGGCACCGAAGATCCTCCCATTGTTATGGGTTCCAAACGAAACTTTCTTGATCGGCCTCTGAAAAGAGGCCGCACCGAAGCTCTACTCCCTGAAAAAACACTATCAACGCCTGAAAGATTTTCAAAATTCCTCGTAATGCATTCAGAGACCGAAAAACCTCTTGCCAAACTATCCCCATTCCTCGTCGCGAAGGTGATAGAGGGAGTGGTTGGAAAAGTCTTTCATGCCAAGAAAATGTCATCTGGCGACCTCCTCATCCAGATTAACACTAAGCGACAAAGTGACGCCCTCTTAGCGCTAAACTCTATCTCAGACTTGTGGGCAACCTGGCGATTCCAAGCGGTTGGCCCAGGCTGCCCCTCCGACAATCATAAGTGGTCATCTTGGCCACGAGGGGGCCAAGGGCAACTGGCCACGCGAGCGGCGCTCCGCCGCTGATAAAAGGCCGTCGCAGCGGATGCGCGGGGGCTGTTGGGATCACGGCGCAGGCGATAGCGGTCATTAAATGTTTACGTGTTGTTGAACCGGTGTGCTGTGTCATTCTCCGAGACGGGTAGCAGCAAGGGAAATCCCACACTGGCGCCCAACGTGGGGCTCGAACCCACGACCCCGAGATTAAGAGTCTCGTGCTCTACCGACTGAGCTAGCCGGGCTCAGTCGGTAGAGCACACAGCACACCGGTTCAAATCCCACAGACTATAGGGTCACTGTCACAGCACACCGCACCCTTAACACCGTTCAAGGTGTCATCTCTGAGGATGACCTCCTTGATACACCGGAGAATGAAGTCGTTGAGGGGCTGGCCACGCAGGGAGTGACGGCTGCACGGCGGATCACCCTGCGTCGGGACGGCGTAGAATTGAAAACAAAACAGATTGTTCTAACTTTCGAATCGACCTCTCTTCCCGAAGTTGTTAGAGCCGGCTACCTCCAGTGCCGCGTCCGCCCATATGTGCCGAATCCGCTGCGCTGCTTTAAGTGTCAGCGGTTCGGGCATGGGTCGCGGAGCTGCCGGGGGACCAACTTGTGTGCCAAGTGCTCTAGTAAAGAGCACATTGCTGAAGCATGTGAGAACGAACCTCTGTGTTCAAACTGTGAAGGCCACCACCCTGCCTATTCCAGATCCTGCCCTGTCTGGAAACAAGAAAAAGAAATTCTTGCACTAAAAATTAAAGAAAATATAAGCTACATTGATGCAAAGAAGCGCTTTGCGTTTGTTTCTAAAGGGTCTTATTCCCAGGCCGTGCAGAGGGGTCCGGCACGGTCAATGGTGTCAACGAGAACGCAGACGTCTTCGGACGACTCGCGTCTCCTGTTAGGTCCCCCTTCCTCGGGAGCAGTGCCAGTTGCACTGCCTCCAAACCGCAAGGTGGATGCTTCCTCATCAGCGTCCACTTCGGGAGCGGTGCCCATGGCACCGCCTCCAAACCGCAAGGTGGATGCTGCTGCGTCAGCATCCACCTCAGGGCAGGGTATGACCTCTCCTGCCCCACCTGCTGCTTCGGTCCCTCGGGGCCGGGGCCTCCAACCCCGGACCTCTACTCCTCAGAGGAAGCCTGGGGAGCCCCCCAAGCAGTCGACCTCTGCAGGTCAACCTGAGGCCATTGCCTCCCCAACAGAGGAGCCAATGGATGAGAGTGGACCCAGATCTGACGAGGACTCCCTCCTCTCGGGATCTGAGTCTTCCTCTTGCGCTCCCAGTGGTCCCACTGGGAA